GCAGGTGACTGGCAGATGCCAGCTTGGATGCGCTATCTTGACGTTGAGAAGATGGAGCGCCAGGCCGTCGCCGAGGCGCATGTCGGCGCGTCGCCCAGCGACGACGAGGGTGGGGATTCGGAAACCCCCGGCGTCCAGCGACGCCATTCCACGCTTGGTCGGTGCAAGCAACGTTTGCCAGGCCCCTTCGCGCGCTCGTTCGCCCTCGTTCGGTCCATCGGTCGCTCTCTCGCGGGCCACGCGTCTGCGGCCGTCTCTCTGCCTGGCATTGGGTGGCAGCGTGCCTGCGGGTGCCGCAGGCCCGCTGTGTGGGGCAGCGCTCGGCGTCAGCCCCTGGGTCCGTGGCAGTGGGTATGGCGCCCACGTGCTTCGGCCTGCGCCCTGGCGCGCCAGCCGCCTGTGTCGTTTGACGCGGTGGGCTGGCGTGTCGGCTGTTGGCGCACGGCCGCGGCCTCACCCAACGTTGCTTGGGTGCCGCATTCCCCCCTCTGGGCGGCATCGCGGTCGAACGTCGCCGCGAAGGAGATTTATGGGGCAGTAATAACTTGTTATTGCAAGTCATAAGTCGACGCCCCCAGGCGGGAGTGCCCCGCCGTCGGCGCACCGCGCGAAGGCGGGCGCCCGCGTGTCCACCCGCCACGCGCCGCCGCTACGTCGGGCGGGCCAGGCCCCGCGCGGGCATGCTGGCGTGCCGCGCGGCCGCGCGTCGGGGTCCTTCCTCCCTCCGCTCCTCCGCGCACGGTCGCGGTGTCTCCTCTTTGCCGCCTGGCCGCGGGGCGGGATATCAAGTGCCCGGTCATGTCTGCAGCGCCCCACCTGCCTAGTGTGCACTCTTAAGGTGGGGCGGCTGGCCGGGGCGTGGTCCTCTGTCTGCCAGCGTGCGGCTCTGGGCCAACCCTGGGGGCGACGCGCGGGGCGTCCGTTCGCCAGAGTGCGTCGGACGCGACCGCGGTCGCGCTTCTTTTCTCCCACCCACCACCCTCGAGGGGGGGTGCGGTGCCCATGTGCTTCGGCCTGCGCCCTGGCGCGCCAGCCGCCTGTGTCGTTTGACGCGGTGGGCTGGCGTGTCGGCTGTTGGCGCACGGCCGCGGCCTCACCCAACGTTGTTCGGGTGCCGTATTCCCCCCTCTGGGTGGCATCGCGGTCGAACGTCGCCGCGAAGGAGACTTATGGTCCTCTTGGGACCTCCTGGGGGCCTCTCGGGGCCGAGATCTCGAAATGTCCGTTCGGGTCCCCCGTCCAGGCCCGCTCTTGGAGCCGTCTTGGAGGCCTCTTGGGCCGTCTTGGAGGCCTCTTGGGCTGTCTTGGGGTCCTCTGGGGCCGTGTTGGGGCTCTCTTGGAGGCCTTTTGGGCCGTGTCGGGGCGTTCTCAGATGCCTCTTGGGCCGTCTTGGGGCGAGATTGTGGGCCCCTTTGACCATTTTTAGAGCGTCTCTGGGAGGGCCTGAACCCAATCTACTTTATCCGCCTTCCAACTTCATGTTTTGCTTGCTTCTTCCGACAGACGTGTAATTGTACACCTGCGTGCGCAGGTTCCTGGCCAGATTGATCCCAGGCCCAGGTTCGTTTACTCCTCGTGCCCCTTCCCGTGTGCAAGGGGCCCTGGCAGGGCAGGAGGGTCGGACATGCGTTCGCTTTGGGGGAAGCGGGTCCTGAGGGACACGGGTTTTGAGGTTTTTCTCCGTTTTCGGGCTCTCGGGGCCCTCCACGGGCCCCGGGATTGGCATAGAGCGACTCAGGATGAAGATCTCGTCCTGGGGGAAGGCCCCGGGTCCAGGACCCGTTTCCCTCAGGCCCTTGTTCCCCCATGCTGAAAGAGTGTGTTGCGTGTCTCCCGCAGCAGAGGTCCAATTCCGCCCGAGGGTCTGTTGCGGGTGTCTGAGCTGTGCAGCGGTTCGGAGGGCGCAAACCATCATCCAAGAAACACCCTGGTTGTCTCCAGTGTGCCCTGGGATCCTTGGGTTTCGACGGTTTTGCTATGGTAATTGTGACGTTCGCACACCAAACATCAATGGACGTCCTGGGGTCGCAGGGTTGGGCTTTTTGTGGAAGGTTTCTTGTGGTCGAGCCCCTACTGTAGACGCCCTCCTGGCTCGGCTGGGAGGGCACTTTAGCACCGATCCTGGGCCCAAGGATGAGCCTGGTCGGGCTTGGTGCATGACGGTGCAGTCCGCGCCCTTCGAGCAACCGACCAGGCCTCGCCGAGCGGCTCCCGCCCAGCAGCAGGATGATTGGGAGGAGGAGGAGGAGGAGGAGGAGGAGGAGGAGGAGGAGGAGGAGGACGAGGACGAGGACGAGGAGGAGGAGGGGAAGCAGGAGGAGGAGGAGGTGGAGGAGGAGGTGGAGGAGGACAGGTCGCGTCCATTTGGGTTCAAGGACCATCAGCGGCAGCGGCAGGTGGAGGAGGAGGACCAGAGTAGACCAAAGATGCATCAGCGATGCTGCAACAATCCCTCCCGTTCCAAGTCTCTCCTCCGCACGCGCTCCTGCAAGTTCGGATTTCAAGACGAGAAACGTGCCAAGGAATTGCCTTGCATTTTTCCGGGGCGTGCTCCAGATTTCGTAATAAAGGGAGGGGGGTCTCATTTCGGGGGGGGGGGCCTCTTCCAGGCTATCTTGGAGGGCCTGGGGGGTCTAGGGACGATGTTTTGGAGGGTTCTCCCACGGGGGAGGTCTGAAATGGCTTGTCTTGGAGGGTCCAGACCCCCTCCCTTTTATTACGAAATCTGGAGTACTCAGGAACGTGGGCAACAACCATGATCATACAGTTCAGTAAGGTGTCCAGCGAGGTCCTCCCTGTCAGGACGTGCGCAGACGCTCAAATTTTAGCCACTCTGCTCCGCTGACCTTCGTCGACTCTTGCTGTGGCAGCCGCGCGATCGGCGAGGCCATCAGCCACTTCACTGCTCCGAGTCAACCAACTCTGGATACCTCCAGACACCACTTCATCTGGGCCGAGGTGCGAAGGAACCTGGAGGATGGTCCCGCCGGCGGCCGCCCTGCACCGGATGCGCCACTGAGTACGCTGACGTCCACCAACCTCGACAAACTTCGTCGCTGTCCGATGCATGTGTGACTGCGCCCGAGATGTGACGACCGGTAGAGGGAAACAATTACTGAACGCCCCCCCTCCCCTCCAAACTCAATGTTGGCCCGCGCGGGGGAGACTGCGGTCGAAGTGCATCTCATCAGACCCACCACCAACTTTGAACATTGGGGGGAGGGGGAGGCGTTGACGGATGAATGTGGCATGAGTGTTCGCTAATTTGTTCCGAGGCCTGAATGACCGTCGCAAGGCACTGCAGCTCTCCACGTGGTACCGTCTGCTGAGCGTGCGTGCCCCAGAGCGGCCCCAACAGACACTGGCGGTGAGAAATTCGTGAGGACTGCGATGCCCATGCCAATCCTCCGAAGGCGTGGGTTGTGCGTATGTGTCCCGCCCGACGCATCTTCGAAGGTGGTAAGCGAAACCTCATGCGTTTCATGCCCAAGAGAATGGCCCTTTAACCCGACAGAGATACCGCCGACACTCCAGACTGGGCTCGCCACAGGTGCCGACGCCGAGGTCTAAGCCGCTGGTATGATGCTACGCATCCAGAAGCGAGGAAAGATGTGCTGCTCCGCGATGGCACGCGGCACCACGAAGTTGGAGTCCTCGATGGCCTTACCTCCGCCGCTGCAGTCCCGCAACCACGTACGCTGTAGAGCCGAGTCCGCACCGTCACGACATCTAGAGCACTCGCTGGTATCAGCCATGCCGACGTCGAACGTCCGCTCCTGATACCAGGTGCTTCCAACAGCGATGGCTAGCATCAGCTCGGATAACTGTCTGCCTGTGCAGCCGTCCAGAAGTCCATGCAGAACGTGGCGATAGCTCGCCATGTGCACTCCCTCCTCTAACCCTCCCCCGCAGTAATGCGCATCAGCTTCACGCCACAAACGTCGGTTGATCAAGGCCTCGAACTCATCCAAGAGGGTCACGACTTGATCCAATCCAGTGATGGCGGCGGAGGAGAAATTCACGCGTGCATGTCAACTGCAGTGTTAGTCGTGGTGCCCCACTCGGCAGCAGAGTTCGGGCTCCAACCCGCCTGAAGGAAGTAAGCGATAATTGCGGAGATCGGGCCTCGGTTGTGCCGTGTTCGACGACTCTCGGGCAAGCTAGCCAAATGCCTCACGGCAGAAGCCCACACACGCTGAATAGTCGTTCGCATAGACGGTTCCGTACTCCAAACTTGCAGGTATTGAGTGAGGCATTGCCTCGGCAAAACCAAACCAAGGTCTGCAGAAAGAAGCCGCAGCGCGAGGAGCGTGGTGACGCACCGACCGCGCTTGGCGGAGCTGGCCGCCGCCGCCAAACGCCGCAGGATGATGATGATGATGATGATGATGATGATGATGATGATGATGATGATGATGATGATGATGATGATGATGCTGATGATGATGATGATGATGTGATGATGCTGATGCTGATGCTGATGCTGATGCTGATGCTGATGCTGATGCTGATGCTGATGCTGATGCTGATGCTGATGATGATGTTGATGATGATGTTGATGATGATGATGATGGTAGTGGTGATGATGATGATGGTGCTGATGATGCTAGTGGTGATGATGATGGTGATGATGATGATGATGATGCTGCTGCTGATGATGATGATGGTGGTGGTGTTGGTGATGGTGATGATGATGATGAGGATGATGATGATGATGATGATGCTGATGATGATAATGCTGATGATGATGATGGTGGTGGTGATGATGATGATGCTGATGATGATGGTGATGATGATGATGATGATGATGATGATGGTGGTGGTGATGATAATGAGGCGGAGGAGGAGGAGGAGGAGGAGGAGGAGGAGGAGGAGGGGGGAGGAGGAGAAGGAGGAGGAGGAGGAGGAGGGGAGGAGGAGGAGGAGGAGGAGGAGGAGGAGGAGAGGAGAGGAGGAGATGGGCTGGGAAGCGGGGGCGAGGGCCGCCCGCCGTCGCCCAGGCGATGATCATGCAGCTGGAGCAGAAGCTCGAGGACCAGGAGCAGGCGCCGCGCGGCCGCCGAGAGGGGGATTGGGGCGGTGGGGCGCGTCGGACGGGGGGGGGCCCTCCCTTGCCGGGGGCGCGCCGCCTCGGAACGCCTCCTGAGGGCGCTCCCGCCTCCTGTCTCTCCTCCTCCTCCCCGCCTCGCCCCTCCCTCCCCCGTCCCTCTCTCCCTCCCCCGTCCCCTCCCTCCCTCCCCTTCTCCTCCCTCCATCCCGCCTCCTGGTCTCTTCTCCTCGTCCTCCTCCTCCTCCTCCTCCTCCTCCTCCTCTCCTCCCTTCATTCCTTCTCCTCCTCCTCCTCTCCTCTCCTCCTCCTCCTCCTCCTCCTCCTCCTCCTCCTCCTCCTCCTCCTCCTCTTCCTCCTCCTCCTCCTCCCTCTCTCCCTCCCTCCCTCCTCCTTCCCATCCCTCCTCTTCGGGATTAGCAGCTCCAAAAGCTTGCTCAGCCACGTGATCTGTCTTCGGTGTTGCCCAAGAGACGGGGATTTCTTTGTCGGGTTCGCTCAGGCCAGCTGCCATCTTGAGCACGTGATGTGCTCGTCTGTGTTCTGTCTACGTCAGGGTCCCGAACTCCCGAATCATCCCGAAGCGTTTGTTTTCCGAGGCCTGCGTGAGGCTCCGACTCTTCACCCTCCCCCGTCCGTCGGGAGAGTGGGCGCGAGGATCGGAATTTCCCGCCCAAAGCGAAGTAACTCCCAGCTCGCCCCAGGGGGCCCAGAGGGGCGGTATTTATTCCAATTTACACATGCGAGCTCCGGGGGGAGCCAGTCCCTATTCCGATGTACACACGAGCTCTTGGGGGGGGCAGTTCTTTTTTCTGATGTACGAGAGCACCGGGGGGAGGCGGTACCTACATTCCGAATTGAACGAGCTCTGGGGGGAGCTGGAAGTCATTCCGGTTTGCACGCGAGCTCCGGGGGCAACTGGTACTTCTTCTGATGTGCGCACGCGAGCTCCGGGAGGACCCGGCATTTATTCAGATTGACGAGAGTTTGGGGGGAAGCCTGTTCTTATCTTAATTTGCACATGCGAGTTCCATGGAGAGGCGGTGCGTATTGAGCTCCAGAGAAAGGGTGCCAGGAATCCCTGGGCGGCATCCAGGGAACAGGCCCCCCCCCCCAAAAAAAAAAAACATTTGTCGAAGTCCCTCCTCCTTCGTCCCCCCTCCCTCCCTGCTGCCCCTCTCCCGCCCCTCTCTTGTCACTTTGAGAGTGTGGCTTGCCGTTGGGGGAACAATTTCGCACGAGTCCCAGAGCGTCGCGGCGTAGCGGTGGATGAGCTATCCCACTCTGCAGTACTTCTTCTGACGATCGCCCCATTCTAGAAGATGATTCTGGCACCCTTTAAGCCTACAGCAGGCTTGGTAATCCCGCTTCCCTCTCCTCCTGTCCCTCCTCCTCCTGCTCCTGCTGCTCAAGACTTTTCAGGGATTCTCATGAACGGGGTTAACAACTGAGCGGGCTGGGGGGGGAGGGGGGATGGCAAGCATCACGGGCAGCAGCGGGGGTACGAGCAGCCCGATCGGATTCCGGTGACCCCGCCGACTGAAGCCGTCGAAAATCCATACGCTATGCTCTCCTCCCCCTCCTCCTCCACCTCCTCCTCCTCCTCCTCCTCCTCCTCCTCCTCCCCCTCCTCCTCCTCCTCCTCCTCCTCCTCCTTCTCATCCTCCGCCTCCTCCTCCTCCTCATCATCATCATCATCAAACGGTTGTCTCCCAACCAGGCTTTTTCCTCAGTGGAAATGAACCCTTGCACGGGCCTGTGAAGAGGGAGCATGGGGGGAGGGTCTGTTCCAACATCGGTTGGTGAGCCTTGGCCTTACACAGGTCCTCCCCCTCCTCTTTCTCCTGAGCGTCTGGCCCTCCTCCTCTTCCTCTCTTCCTCCTCTTCCTCCTCTTCCTCCTCCTCCTCCTCCTCCTCCTCTTCCTCCTCTTCCTCCTCCTGCTCCTCCTGCTCATCCTTCTCCTCTTCGTCCTCCTCCTCCTGAGTGCCTGAGTGCCTGAAGGCGCAGGAGTCCGCGGGACGCCGCCCTCCCCCCCCCCCCAGGCCGGTCGGCCCTGGGGGGTGGATCGAGCCAAGAGCCAGGCGACTCCTGGAGCCTTCGCTCCAGGAGTCGCCAGCTGAGGGTAGACAATCAGAGTCGAAGGCAGGGGAGAGGGGAGGAGACCATCATAACTTCGAAGGAGGTGTTCCTCCTCCTGTTCCTCCTCCTCCTCCTCCTCTTCCTCCTCATCCTCATCCTCGTCCCCCTCATCAGCATCATCATCATCAGCAGCATCAGCATCAGCATCAGCATCAGCATCAGCATCAGCATCAGCATCAGCATCATCATCATCATCATCATCATCATCATCATCAGCAGCAGCAGCAGCATCAGCATCAGCATCAGCATCAGCATCATCAGCATCATCATCATCACCACCATCACCACCATCATCACCATCATCACCATCATCATCATACGATTGTCTCCCAACGGGGCACTTTCCTAAGTGGAAATGAATCCTCGTAGGTGTCTATGGAAAGGAAACTTGGAGGGAGTGTTTGTTCCAACATCGTTGATGAGCCTTGGGCTTGCACTGGCCCTCCTCCTCTTCCTCCTCTTCCTCCTCCTCCTCCTCCTGCTCATCCTCCTCCTCTTCGTCCTCCTCCTCCTCCTGAGTGCCTGAGTGCCTGAAGGCGCAGGTGTCCGTTGGACGCCGCCCTCCCCCCCCAGGGCCAGTCGGCCCCTGGGGGTTGATCAAACTAAGAGCCAGGCGACTCCTGGAGCCTTCGCCCCAGGAGTCGCCGGCTGAAGGTAGACAGTCAAAGTTGAAGACTGGGGAGGGGAAGAGACCATCATAACCTCGAAGGAGGTCCTCTTTCCTTTTCCTCCTCCTCCTCCTCCTCCTCCGCCTGCTCTTCCTCAAGGTATACAGGCCCGGATAATGACCGCCGAGCGAGCGTGTCCCACGCACCGCGTACGGTAGGTTAATGCGGCGATGACGCGCTGGCGATGCCAGCGAAGGCGCTCACGGTTGAACTCCGCATGACTGAACGACGCGGAATCACTGAGGGGCACGGTGGCGACACAGGACCCGACGGAATTTAACCTTGAACGATCGGGGTTGCGATCGGTTCAAGGTTCAACGATCGACGTGGTGTCAAAGACCTTTGCACGCGCCGACGCCGCACGACCCTACCGAACCTCTGTCTCCCTGGGAAGCTGCCACAGGGTTCGAGAAGGCGGGGTTGGGCCGTCCTTCGGCAGCGATTCCAGCTAGGCTAGAATGTTTGTTCAGCTAGCCCAGCTGGTCTCTTCACCGTCCCGCCCCCATGCAGTTTTTGAACCTCTTTATCATCCCCTGCCCTCCTCTCTCCTCCTCCTCCTCCTCCTCCTCCTCCTCCTCCTCCTCCTCCTCCTCCTCCCCCTCCTCCTCCTCCCTTGTCGTCGCCTTCCCCATCCTACCCCAACTTGCACCTCGCTCGACTTTAGTACAACCCTCTCTTGCGCACAACCGCCGGAGGTGTGCATCGGCCCCCTCGCGATTGGGTCGACCACACGTAAGAATGATCCTTCGCCGGAGTGACCTTCGGTGCGGGCCAAGTGGGGGCCCCCGACCGCCGAACGCAATGCGACAGCAGCGTTTTGCGCGCTCGTGTTCGGGCTCCCGCGCCCCCCCCCCCCCCAAAAAAAGCCGCGTACCAAAGCTCATTCTTATCCAGGATCGCTCTCCGGTGTAGCCGACTTTCGTCCGCTCCGGCCTGTTCTTCCCTCCTCGCTTTCTTGCGAGCGCTTCGACGCAGCGCCCCCCGTCGCCGCGCGCGCTGCAGATGGGCGCGAGTGCGTAGGCCTGACGAGAATATAGGGAAGGGAGCGGGAGGTACAACTCTTCGATCCCTCAGCTGCGTGATCCTGGAGCCAGGGCGTATGTGTCTAGTGGTGGGCAGGACGCTTGTACAGTTGGCATGGCCTGCCTCCCCCTGCCAAGCCAACACGTGCCGCATGGAGGAAAGGGGGTATGTAGACTCCCACCCACTGTATTTTAAACCGCGCGTTGCTACACGACAGAAGTTTCAGCAGAGTTGCCTTTGTGGTCATTCGCGGTCTTCCTCTTCCTCTTCCAAGCCCTTCCTCTTCTCCAACATTGCGCTGGGGAAGGACAACCAGACCAAACAAGAAGCACCTGGAGGTGGGGTAAGCCCTCCCTCGCTCCCCCTGCCTCCCTCGCTCCCTCGCTGCGCAGGCGTTCAAGGACAGGCTGGAGGAGGAGCGCGCACAGTGGGAGCGCCAGATGGACGGGCTCCGGAGGCAGAAGGACGACCTGGAGGAGAAGCTGGAGAAGGCCCGCGCGCGCGGGCGGTCTGGAGGAGGAAAAGTAGAGGAGGAGAGAAGAGGAGAGGAGGAGGAGGAGGAAGAGGAGGAGGAGGAGGAGGAGGAAGGGAGAAGAGGAGGGAGGGAGAAGAGGAGAGGAGGAGGAGGAAAAGACGCAGAAGGCATCCCCTTCCTGGGGGCCACTCCGAGAAGACAACCCAGTCTGACAGCATCTTTTGTTGACTTGCCCATCCTCACTCCAACTCCAGCATCGCCCTTGTTATTTGCCGCTGCAGCCTTGCGCAGGCCGCTCCGACCCCACCTACATTCCCGAAGCCCGCCGCAGGATTGGTTTGCCCTCCATCTCCCCCAGATCCCGAATCGCCTGGAGGAAGGTCGCTGCAGGCCCGACCGCCGAGGAGGCCTGCACACCCGTTGTGAGTCATACGCGTGACGTGTCCAGAGCTACCCCCGCCCCTTCAGGACCTAAGGATCCTCCCAGGGACGGCTGGCGCACCTGAGGCGTTGTTAGACAAACCGAGTGAAGGGCGACCACTTGAGATTCAGTCTCTCTCCCTGTTCTCCTGCTTCCACTTGGTTCCCATATGTTTGACTATGCTGCGAACTCAACAGGCTTTCGTTGCGAGTGGACGAGCGAGGATGAGAAGAGGACGAAGGGAGAAGTAGAGACGAAAAGAAAACTAAGGAGTGATGATGAGTGAGGGGAAGGAGGAGGATGAGGAGGAAAAGGAGGAGGAGGAAGAGGAGAAGGAAGAAGAGGAGGAGAGGAGGATTAAGCGAAGGAGGACGAGGAGGATGGGGATGCTGCTGATGATGAGGAGGCTGAGAAGGAGGAGGAGGGGGATAAGGAGGAGGAGGAGGGAGAGGAGGACGAGAAGGGGGAGGGGGAGAGAAATGGTGAAGTGGAAGATAATTGATGATGGTGGTGATGATGATGCCGCTGATGATGATGTTGATGGTAGTTGCGGTGCTGATGATCTTAATGATGATGATGATGATGATGATGATGATGATGATGATGATGATGATGATGATGATGATGATGATGATGATGATGATGATGATGATGATGATGATGATGATGTGGGTGTTGGTGATGCTGAGAATAATGGTGGTTATGACGATGATGGCGATGCTGATGGCGACGCTGATGATGATGTTGCTGAGGCTACGTGATGATAATGAGGACAATGATGATGGTGATGACGATGCTGATGATGATGATGATGATGGCGATGCTGATGTTGGTGATGCTGCTGTTGATGATCTCTATCACGATGGTGATCATGATGATGAATGTGAAGCTGATGACGATGATGATGATGATGATGATGATGACGGTGCTTATGCTGTTGATAATGATGTTGATGCTTGTGATGATGCTGATGATGATTACGATTATGATGCTGCTGATGATGATGCTGATGTCGTTGGTTATGTGAAAGATGATTATGACGATGCTGATGGTGATGCTGCTGATGATGATGCTGCTGGAGATGATTATAATGGTGTTGCTGCTGACGATGGTGTCGATGGTGACGATGATAATGATGATGATGAGGATGATGATGATGATGGTAATGAGGATGATGCTGGTGCTGATGATGAGGATGATGATGATGACGGTGCTTATGCTGTTGATGATGATGTTGATGCTTGTGATGATGCTGATGATGGTGATGCGTATGCTGATGATGATGAGTATGATGATGACGGTGTTGATGATGATGACGACGATGATGATGATGGCGATGATGTTGGTAGTAATGAGTATTGCGATTATGATGATGATGATAATGATGGTGGTGAGTCTGATCACGATTATGCTGACAGTGATGATGGTGACGACGATGGCGTTGACGATGATACTGGTACCGAGCATGCTGCTGCTGACGATGATGATGCTGATGATGATGATTATGATGCTGATGATGATGATGCTGATTGTGCTGATCGTAATGGTGATGCTGATGTTGATGCCGAGGCTGATGATGCTGGTGCTGATGCTGAGGTTGCTGCTTCTGATGATGATGATTGGTTGATGATGCTGATCATGATGATGATGATGATGCTGGTGACCTTGATGATGATGATGATGATGATGATGATGATGATGATGATTATGAACACAACTATGATTATGATGGTGATGTTGTTGATGATGATGGTGATGATCGTGATGATGATGATGATGATGATGATGATGATGATGATGATGATGATGATGATGATGATGATGGTGCTGATGACGATGGTGGTGGTGATGATGATGATGATGGTGGTGGTGATGATAATGATAATGATGACGCTGATGATGCTGGTGATGCTGATGATGATGATGATGATGAGGAGGAGGAGGAGGAGGAGGAGGAGGAGGAGGAGGAGAGGAGGAGAGGAGGACAGGAGGAGGAGGAGGAGGAGGAGCATGAGGAGGACGAGGAGGAGGAGGATGATGATAAGGAGGAGGAGGAGGAGGAGGAGGAGGAGGAGGAGACCCCCTCTCCTGCCCCTCCGTCTTCATACATGCCCCCCCTCGTCTTCCTGCTTATCCTCGTGTCCCCCCCTCCCCCCCCCCTCTGCTCCCGACGCTCCTCCCGATGGAGGAGGAGGAGAATGAGCAACAGTAGCAGGAGGATGAGGATCAGGTGGTGGCTCGCCGTCGCCGTGTTGCTCGCTGCAGCCCGCCACCAGCGCTCTCTCCCTCTCTCTCTCTCTCTTTACGCAGCCTTGGTCCCCCCCTGCGGCTTTGCACCCGCGCTCGGCCAGTCCGCCGCCCTGGTGCGGCTGGCAGTGCCGCACTCCTGGGCGGGGCTGCTCTGCCGCCATTTGCGGCGCCCTGCGCGCCTACTGCGCAAGTCGACGCAGGGCGACCGCCCAGGGAGCGGACCTTTGAGCTCCCCTCTGCTTAGGCCGTCGAGGCCTCCCAGCTCTCCCTCGGAGGCGCGGTCAGGCCAGGCTAAGGGGCCCAGGAGGAGGGCCCAGCGATTTCAAGGAGAACAGCGGCATCAGATGGTACGTCAGGAGGAGGAGGAGGAGGAGGAGGAGGAGGAGGAGGAGGAGAAGGAGGAGGAGGAGGAGGAGGAGGAGGAGCTGGACGAACGCAACAACACATTGGCTTGAGTTGGCGCAGCGTGGAAGAAGGTGGAGCTGGAGGAGGAGGAGGAGGAGGAGGAGGAGGAGGAGGAGGAGGATCTAGGCCTCCCAAGTTGGATCCGAATATATAGGGTCGGAGGATAGCGCCGCTACGCCAATCCATCGGCGATGCGGCTCGATGTGGAGCCTGATTTTCTCCACGCCGACGGCGCTAATGCATCGCCGACGTCGCCGATGCATCGACGAAGCATCGGCGGTGCATGGGCGATGCGGCGCGAGCCTCCGACCCCATCTGCTCGGACCCCATGTGGGAGGCCTTCAGAGGAGGAGTGCGCTGCTTGCGGCCCAGCCCCCACGACCCGGCCACACAGCCATTCAGTGGAGAGGAGCAAGAGGACGAGGAGGATGAGGAGCTGTCTTTCTGCCGCCCGTCCGCGCCGAACTTGCCGAGACGTCCAGAGGAGAGCCTGCTCCGTCGACGAGATGAGGTGTCTCCAGGTGGGCTGTTTGGGCCGCTCACCCTTGTCTTTCGTCTGAGAGGGGCGACCGTGGCTGGGAGGATTCAGAAGTTTACTGCGACCGACGTCGCTTGCTCGTGCTCGGCCCCTCCTGTGGCCACGGACACTCACCGAGACCGAGACTGAGACCGAGGCCCGGCCAAGCCAGGAGGGCCATGCACCGATCCCCGGGCCCTGGATGGGCCTGGCCAGGATCGGTGCATGTGCATACGTAGTGTGTTCTCCTTCCTCCAGGAGCTGCAGCAGGCTGGAGCCGCAGCGGCAGGTCGACGGGCACGAGATGCGTTAGCAGTGTGCAGGGCCCGTGACCCCAGCCCAGTGCGCACCTTTGAGCCGCCGCGGCGTGAAGTGGCCCGCCAGCACTGGATGCTCGTCAGCCTCGCACACTGGGCGTTCGGCCGTTGCAGGGTGTGCAGGCGAGCCGTTGCGCCCCACTCATCCTGCCCAGCTCGGAGGAGCAACGAGTCCAAGACGCGCGATTTTCGATGAGGCCCTCCGCGCTTCTGGCTTCGGGGCGTGCACCAGGAAGATGTGCTCTGCTCCAGGAAACGGCTTGAGATAAACTTGCCACGCATCGCCCGACGGACAATGGCGATATGACGATACGTTCCAGTCTTTCCTTGTGCTCCTGCCGTTCCGCTCGGACTCCAGGGACGAGGGCCTCCAGGTTCTCCCGAAATCCTGGAACAGATCCCGAGCCAACCGCATCACGACGTCGCTCTCGTCCTGTCGGTGCCCTCCCAGGAAAGCACACTGAGCTATCGGCCAGTCGGGGTCTCCACGTGCGGTCGCAAGGGAGCCCCAGCCGAGGCGGGGCTGGGGCAGCAGCCCCTTCCCTTGTGGACGCTCGGCCTCTCGTTCGTCCTCGCGCTGGTCCCGCTGCCTGCTCCTTCTCCTCCCCGGAGAAGAAGCGCCGTCACGAGCATACGTCGAGCTGCGCTTCACTCTCCGCTTCCGCTTGTACCTCTGCCTCTGCATCCTTCGCCTCCGCCCCGAGCTCTGACCTGACCCTGCCGCTCGAGTGGCCAGGTCCGCATCCCGCTGGCCGCGCGCGCGAGCGCGCGTGGCAGCTCGGGGTCGACTCCTGCGGCCACTCGCTCGGCCGGCTGGCGCCAGGTCGCCGACTTCCGCAAGAACAAGGAGAACATGGAGACCGAGCTCGAGAGCCTGAAGAACAAGCTCCGGGATCAAGCCGAGGAGGGCCTCGCGCGCGGGCTGGCCCCCGGGGTGTTCTGCCGTCGGCCTCCTCCGCCTCGTCCTCCTCCGTGCGGTGAGGTCTTGGGGGCCGCAGAGCAGCCTGGGCAGTGGAAGGACACCGCGAGGAGGAAGCGGATGAGAGAGATATGTACTGCCATTTTGTTCGCAGCTTGTGGCGATTCAGGGTGGCATTGCACGCAGAACACGAAGGATCCTTTTGTTGGTTTCCGTGGAAGCCGAGTATTATTCTGAGGAATCGAGTCGTACTGTTTTGTGATTCACGTCAGGGATACCCTTCGTACTTCGACGCGCCATGCTTGTGACATAGGGTCCCCATGTCTAAGACCCTGAAAAGGGTAAGGGAGAAAGGCGGAGGGATGATAGGACTATCAATGTAATGGAACTGGGCCGTGTCGAGGCTGATCGTATTGAGATCTTTGCGTCTTACGACTATGCGCACACTGTATATTCGTACCACTAGTGTCTTGTGTTCGTCACATGTTCTTTCACACTCTTTGTTCGGACAGGCCCCGTGCTCGCTTTGCTCTTACATTGCAATCGTGGACGCCATGCGCTCGTATCAACCTAGGCTCGCGAAAACCCAGTGCTCATACACACCTTGTATTCCAATACATAGGGCCACCTGCGGGGCACGCGAGTGCGCCTAAACGATCAATGGCCAGTCTGGGGCCGTCCCCCTGGGGCCGCGTTAGCGCACGAAGCGTGTGAGGAGCGCGGAGCGCTCCGACAAAGTTCAAACCTGGGGACAGGTATGAGGATGTGCCGATGCGCCCACTATTCGGACACCGCGTGAGGCACGGATGATGTGTGATAGGTGCGCCGAACCAGCCCTGGACCAAGCGGAGGCTGCCTTGGCTTTGGCCCTAGTTTTGGGCCCCAAGGGGCACGAAACGTGGGGCGGGAGTGGGGGATAGGGGGTGTGAGTGAGGTGGTGTGCAGCAGAAGTCGAGGACCCTAATTTCCAAGTAGTTCGGGAAGGCGCAAGCACACGGGGATACCGATACCGATAATGCTGTTAATGAGTGGGGTGCTACGGATGACGATGAGGAGGAGGAGCAGCAGCAGCAGCAGGAAGAAGAGACGGACGAGGCGGAAGCGGGGAGTGAGGTCTACGAGGAGGGGTATGAGGGATGATGGTGACGATGGTGATGATGGTGATGGTGGCGGTCAAGCTGTTGATGATACGGTTGTTGTTGATGCTAATGCTGATGTTGGTGGTGCTGCTGCTGAGGGTAGTTCTGAAGAGGATGCGGAGGACAGGAGGAGGAGGAGGAGGAGGAGTAGGAGGAGGAGGACAGAGGAAGAGAGGGGGGGGAGGAGGAGGAGGAGGAGGAGGAGGAGGAGGAGGAGGAGGAGGAGGAGGAGGAGGAGGAACAGAACAGAACAGAACAGAACAGGAACAGGAACAGGAGCAGGAACAGGAGGCGGAGGAAGAGGTGGAGGAGGAGGAGGAGGAGGAGGAGAGGAACAGGAGGAGGAGGAGGAGGAGGACAGATGTGGAGGAGGCGGCGGCGGAGGAGTAGGAGGAGGAGGAGGAGGAGGAGGAGGAGGACGAGGAGGAGGAGGAGGAGGAGGAGGAGGAGGAGAAGGAGAAGGAGGAGGAGGAGTTGGAGGAGGAGGAGGATGAGGAGCAGCCGGAGGAGGATGAGGATGAGTAGGAGGAGGAGGAGGAGGAGGAGCAGGAGCAGGAGCAGGAGCAGGAGCAGGAGCAGGAGCAGGAGCAGGAGGAGGAGGAGAAGGAGGAGGAGAAGGAAGAGGAGGAGGAGGAGCAGGAGGAGGAGGAGGAGGACAGAGAACAGAGGACAGAGGACAGGATTATGATGAGGAGGACAGGGCAGGAGCAGGAGGACGGCCGACGGAGCTCGCTGCGGCGAAGGAGCACCGAAGCGCGGTCAGCGCCTTCGACCGCCAGAAGGCTGCCGCAAGGGGTTTGGGCTCGCGCCGGTCTCGGTCTCGCGCGGGCAGGCAGGCAGGGGAGGACCGGGGGATCGGGAGATGCCAGTCGATGCTGCCAAAGGGGTTGACGTCGACTACACGTAAGAGTGACCCTTGGCCGGAGTTACCTTTTGGTGCGGGCCCATTTGGGTCCCCCGATCGCTGAGCGCAATGCGATAGTGGATGTGCGCTTGTGTTTGGGCCCCCCGCGGCCCCAAAAAAGCCGCGCACCAAAGGTCACTCTTACCCAGGGTCACTCTTGCGTGTAGCCGATGACGAGTCTTCTCTCTGCGGCGGGCGGGGGGGGTGAGCGAGAAGGAGAGGGCCTGTGAAGAACTAGACGGCAGCACTTGTCAGAAGCCCTCGTCCCTTGTGAGAGGTGTCCTGTGTCTTCGGGGAAGGCTCAGGAAACTTCTCGGAAGGCCGGGGGACTTCCGAGCCTTCTCAGAAGGCCCGCCCCTTCTCGCTTCCCTCCCGCGCTCGCCGCCGATTCTCGAATCGTCTTGCGGGGATCAGGACAGGCATATCGAGGTACATCCATGCCAGGCGATGCACATCAAGACATATCCAGGTACATCCAGAGATGCCCAGGCAGATGTGGAGAAGTCGTGGAAGCTCCAGCGCGACTCGAGGGGCCGCAGACGTCCTTCATAACGAGGGACGGCGGCGGCCCTCCCTTGCGCTGATCGTCATCTCTGGGTCTCCCGGAGGCTTCTCGTCGCCACGGCCGGAGCCGCCCCGAGAAGCGGGTCAAGGTGGACCCCTGGGAGGGGTCGGGGGGCCGATTGTGAGCGGACCGATCGGACCTGGGCCGTGCGGAGAGCCCTTGCTGTCTCAGCTGGCCCGCTGAGGCCCAGAGATGCGGGGAGGGGGGAGGGGTGGACGACGGGAGGATTGTTTTGTTCCCCACAGCTTCGGCCGAAGGGGGCGCGGGGGGAGGGGGGGCGGAGGGAGGCATGCGGGAGGAGAGGGAGGGGGCGGAGGGTGGGGGGGCGAAGGGAGGGGGGTGCGGAGGGAGGGAGGGACGAAGCGAGGGACGTAGGGATGAGGGAGGCGGAGGGCGGAGGGAGGGAGGAGGTGCGGAGGGGGGCGGTGGGGGGGGGGGCAGAGGGAGGGAGGGACACATTCCTAAACACTTGGTCTTTGGAGGCCCATGTCGAGGCCTCAGGCCATCAGAATTCGGTCGGGGGCGAGAGGCTGCCCAGGGAGGACCTCGGGAGGGGTCCGGGGACCGAGTTGGATCGGATATCCGCGCTCCAGGAAAGGGGGAGGACGACTGGAAGGAGGAGGGAGGAAGGCCAGAGGAGGAACTGGGGAGAGGGAGAGATTGATAGAGTGGAGGCCTGTCGAGTCCGTACCATGGAGAGCCTGGGCAGAGTCTGGATGGGTCCCCTGACAGCTCCATGGTCCGTTCTGTCCTTCGAGTGGAGTGCCTCTTACACTCTGCCAGCTTCCGCAGTGGCCTCAGAGCCAGCAGCAGTGGTAACCGGCAGGCCATAGACATCGACCAGCTCAAGAAAGACATGCAGCGAACGGTGAAGGAGACGAGGGAGATGCTGAAGGCGCGCACGAAGGACCAACTCGACCAGACTACCAAGCGCACCATCATGGAGAACGAGCAGGAGACGATTCCTTCGCTTCCTTTTCCACCGAGGAGAGGGGGCAGAGCGGAAAGACACGAGGGCGTGGAGGGGAGGGGGACGGGGGAGCGGGAGTCGAGCGCGAGGCGGGGCACAACCGACGGGGGCCTGGCGACGCGCGACGGGCGATTGCAGACGCAGGGCGGGGACCACGTGGGCGGAAGCGCCTCTCCCCTCTCCGCGCCTCTCTCCGGCCTGAGAGGCCCCGAGGACGCCCCTGGAGGCCATCAAGAGGTTCCCAAGAAGCCCTGTGAGGCTCCCAAGAGGCCCGCCGGAAGCCCCAATAGGCCCCCAAGGGGGCCCCAGGGAAGCTTCCTGCGGGCCCCCAAGAGACCTCGGTAAATCGTATTTCCCAGACAGCTTTCCGGGAACATGATTCTTCGGGCTTCCGCCCACCGCCCCAACCATGTTTCCAATAGGTTTGCCGACAAGGCCAAAAGGGGCCCCTCGGTAAGCCCCCAGAGGCCCCCCTCTTAAGAGAGCCGAACAAATCATGCTCCCGGAAAGCTTCCTTGGAAGAATATTATCCAGTTGCCGCCCTCTCCCCAAACCATGTTCCCTGAACGCCTGCCAGGAAAAAAAAAACAAGCAGAGCTACCTGCCGCCGCGCTCGGAAACGCGCGAGGCCCCGAAGACTCCCGAGGCGCCCAACGACACCCCAACAAATCATGTTCCCGGGAGGTCTTACGGCCAGTGCCGCCGAAGTTGAAAGAGGACGGTCAAGGACACCCAAAAATCTTCCAAACAGGCTTCCAAGAGGGCGCCGAGACAGCCCAGGGCCGCCAGACAAAACGAAAAGGGCCGCAAGAGGCCTCCAAGAGGCCCCGAAACGCGGACATATCATTCGAACACGCCCACGATGGCCTCCGGACGGCCCACAAGGCTTCCAATACGGCCCACAGAGACGCCAAAATCATTGATTGTCCTTAGGTTTTTGATGGATTTCAGCAATTCTGCCTGTTCAGGGTCCCGACTGTCCCGGACACCCAAATGTCGCCCCAACAAGCCCCCACGCGGGCGCCGAGACGGCCCAGGGACGCCCTGCCGCGGGCACGAGGCGGGGCCCGGGACGGGGCCCTTGCACCGGGGGGCCCGGGGGCCCTGCCGTGGCGCTGAGGGCCTTGTAAAGTCGCCCGAAAACGACCCTGGATTCCCAGAAATGGTGTTTCCACACGACGAAAACGACCAATGACCCCCCGAGATCCCCCCAGAATTTATCCCTGACTGTCCAAGAGGCCTCCAAGACGCCCCAAGAGGCCTCCAAGATGGCTCCCAAGGAGACCTAGGAGGCACAACTAATTTGTTTTCTTTGGTTTTTGAGCGATTTTCGGGTTCTCGCCTTTTCAGTTTCCTGACGCTCCACGACGGCCCAAGAGGCTTCAATTTCCGCTCCAACACATCCCCAGGTTCCTCGAAGACGGACACAAGACAGCCCACGAGGGCCCCAAGACGGCGCCAGAGGCGCCCAAGGCGGCCCGAGAGGGCCCCAAGATGGAGCCAAGAGGGTTAGCACGAACCCAAAATCCGAGCCTTCCACCCCGAGAGGCTCTCGGGAGGCCCCGAGAAGCCCCTAACAGGCTCCAAGAGGCCCCGAGCCTCCCAGAGGGCCGAAGAGGATCCAAGAGGCCTCCCACGAAGGCCCCAAGAGGCAAACATCAATGTCTTGCCACAGGTTTTTGATTGATTTTGAAGTTTTCAGCGTTTTCGCGTCCTGACGCTGCAAGACGGCCCAAAAGGCCTCCAAGACCAATCCAAGATAGCCCAAGAGGCCTCCAACAGGGTCCAAGACAGCCCGAGAGGGCACCAAGACGGCCCCAAGGGGGGCCCAAGAGGGGTAAGACTAACCGAAAATCAGAGCCTTCCACCCAGAGAGGCTCTCAGGAAGCCCCAGAGGCCCCAAATACGACCCAAAAGGCCATCAAGAAACTCCAGAAGGCCGAAGAGGTTCCGAGAAGCCTCCCAAGAAGGCCGGAAGAGGCAGGATCGATCTATGAGGACCCTGGGTCGGGCTTTGCGTAATGGGTTGGCCATTCAGGGGTCAAGCTGCACCTCTCGTGCACATGAAGGTCTCTTCGCGCCCCCTCACCCCCGTTCAGCAACGCCCCGCTGGGGCTCGAACCCAGGCGTCAGCGCCCGAAATGGCAACACAGATGCGACGCCAGGAATCTCAAGGTAGGAGGGGTCCGCCTCCCGCCGCTGCACTGGCGGGAGCCCGCGGCCGACAGATGAACACGGAG